AGATGTTTTGAGTGGAGGATTTGGATCGGTCCCCTCTCCACCTGTTGAGCAAGATTTTCGTGCCAAATGAGACTCCATAAGTTATCCTTCTTTTGGAGGAGGGCTCCTGGGGAGCAAGACTATAGCTTGGAATCGTTTAACGTTCGTTTTACTTATGCAGACCAGAAAAAGAAAATATGGAGCGCATCCATTTCAGTTTGTTTTTAATTAGGGATCTTCGTAGTAAAGGCAACCACATTCAGTCTTGAGTGTTTTTTAATTGGTTTGACCCTGAAACTGAACCAACTGTTAGCAAAAGAAATATTTTCAAAACAAAACTAAGACTCAAGATTTTTGCTAACATCTTCAGTTTATTTTGTGCAATTCAGTATATTTATTAGGTATCAATAAAACAGTGAAAATGCGACTTATGCTACTTTTTAATTATGCTATTATAAAACTGGTAAAAAATTTCTCAAATATTATACATATAGTTTTTCTTAATTAAGTTTTAACAAATAAGTGTTTGTTCCATGTGGTTGCTTTCGTATTCAACCACAATAAAATTATGGTTCCCAGCATTCCTGCTTTTCAGAATGAGCCACAATGTACTTATGAGGAGGCTGGAGCGCCTGTGGATGGATTTTTAAAAAAAAGCAGTGGAGAGTTTTAAAACCATCATGCAATGTTTTTTTTTTTTTGTTTTATTTGTCTTTCACCCACTGTTTTATTAGTTCTGAACTGCAACAAACGATTTGCTTTTAAAAGGGTAATGGCTAAGTTCTTCCACAATCTTTACACTAAATGTTGTGTGCAGGTTTTCATACAGCTCGACATACTGCTCGCACATGTTTTTTAAATGAAAAAGCATTAGAATCCAGCTAATGCAGGATATTGGATCTGAGACATTTTTTGGATTTTTGGGGTTTGAAATATTTTTCACACAAGCCAAATTTCTCTGTGTAAATCAACATTCGGCGTGAGAATTACATTGAAAAAGTTTAATAGATGGGGTTAATTGTTATTAAGTACAGATTCACATATTTTTAGTAAGGAACTTAGTTTGACTCTATTTAACCATCTGCTTAGCTGTGGTAGTTACTCTGCTGGAACTATGTGATGTGACSTTTTTAAAGCCTTTATTTTTATGTCCTATGTTTTGTTAAGACTAAATAAACACTGGCTGATTTTAGAGTAGTCAGCCCATTATTATGTTTGTTCTTTGCCAMTATTTTGATAAGACAAAAAGTTAAGATGAAAGGTTTTGCCACTGCTTTTGAGAGAAAAAAAAGGCTTCCCTCTTTGTCTTTGTCCTTCTGTCCCTGTTTGATGTTGTGATAGTTTAACCGGGTGTCCTGTTGGTTTGTTAATCAACCCCAGCACTCTGCTCGTCGTGCTCCACTCGGCACAGGCCCCAGGCGAGGCCGAGAGAGGCCAGAGACCAGATTGACAGAATATGTTGGGACATTCAGGGGACGCTCTCACAAACACCCCCTCTCATTGACGAGGCCCTGCTCTCTCCTCCTGCTCGCCTGCCAGTTGATGTCCTCTATATTAATTTGAGTCGCTGTTCAGCACTCGCAGTCACCGCCCCCAGCACCACTGCCTCCGTAAACCCTCTTTTACCCATCCTCACATCAATCGATAAAGGCACTGACCCCCCTTCTTCTTCACAAACTCTCCACTTTCGAACCTCTTGTCCATTGAGACCCCCCCCTCCCCCCTCCTCCTCTTTCCTCTCTGCACTTTGGTCATTGAGCAAGGCCCATCATCTCTTACCCGGGCCCTTCAGAGCAGCGTCTCCCTTTTCTCCAGGGGTCTGCGGGGTCTTTGTCCGTGCACCGGCTCACTGCTTTACAATGACTCTCCACTCTATTAAGGTGCGTTCTGCCTGTTAGCGTCGCCAGGGGCAACCGGCCTCCCGCATGGCGGCTATGCAGCACCGCATTGTGGGCTTAGGGCCCGAGCGGGGCAGTTGAACCCTCAGCACTCCTCACACTTGACACCGCATGTGTTTATCTAAAGGGGGGGCTTTGTGGTGTTTGGAGAACCTCCAGAATGAAAGAGGAGGGGTGTAAAAAGACGTAAAACTGGGGGGGGGGGGGGGGGTGTTGGGAGGTGATAAATATTCAACAGCTCAGCTCCTCGGAAGGAATTACTACTCTGCTACCCCTTCGCCACCTCCTCTCCCTTGTGTGTCTTCTCCATGCCAGTAAGCAGATGGAATGTGATAGCTCAGGGAGGAGGCTCCAGTCTGGTTTTATCCAATTAGCAGGGTTGTCAAAATGAATTTATCCACGGAGGCAGCGGGACAATGGGACCGGCAGTGGCCCGAGAGAACGGGGGCCTCGGTGTCTTCACTTAGCGTGCTCACAATGAACTTCTGTCAAGTGACTCTCTYGCTCGACATCATATCCTCGCATACCTACACAGACGATGCATGCCTGCACACCACCAAGACACTGCGTCCCCCTGTGATGGCCGGTTTGATGACAGCCTTTGGAGCAATCCTCTAAAGGACCTTGTATAATCAGGCACAAGCCAGTCTAATTCTTTAAATGGTTTGGCTTTGACAAATCCTGCAAGCTAGAGACAATAACCCAAATTTGGTACGAAAGATTTCCGGGTCAGGTGGGAAACTTGGTCTATATTTTGCAAAAGAGGGCTGCTCGGGATTTGTGGTCAGTCTAAATGTGGATAAATGTGCAAGTTGTGAGCCCAGACTGGCCCAAATACACACATCTGAAAAACCCAACTAAGTCTGGCAGCTATTACTGGACCAGAACTGGCTTACCAAACGTCTTCCCATCTCACCTGGATATTTTCTAATAGAGTATTTTTTTTTATATCGACTCAAAAGGCTGCCAACTGCAGTAACGAAAACTAAATGCACTTAATATAGATCTGTGAAGCTGTGGACAAATGGATGTCAAACTGCAGTCACTTAATTATTTTTTGGTTTCTGGCAGCAGTGTTTCTTTTAAGGCTACAACAACACAGTCGAATACAGACACACACACACATACCCTGAGCTTTTAATTTAGAGAAGCTGTCTGGGAGTGTGCTCTGTTTTTTATCAGTCTCCCCGATGCGTAGGAGGCTCTTCTGCCTGTGACTTTTCTTGGGAAGGATGGATGGAAAAAKTTGGACGTAGACGTCAGACCAACTTTTCATCTTGAAGCAGGGTATCCAGTAAGCAAACACAGCAGACTAATGAATCAGGCAGACTTTAGAGGAGTACGGCTGTTTTTTAAGGGACTGATGTATGAGGGGCCTGCTAATGTGACCGCTACTACAAAGCATTATCTGTTTCTGTTCCTTCTTTTTCTGCCGTCGATTCGTTTTGTTTTGTGACGAACTGGACAGGTAAGAGGTTGCACGGCTGGGTGGCATGTCCCAGTGTGTGTCCACTTGGCCGGCTGTTTTGGTGTGGTTTACGGTCAGTGACTCTCACAGTTGGAACAGGTGCTCTGTGCACATGTATGGGGCAGCTGTCCTGAGTTGTGTCCATTACTGCAACCAGCCACAGAAGCCACAGGCCTTCAGCTCTGCTGCCTCCTAGATCCACATTAGTTTGTTTGCAGAGTTTGCCTGCTACTGACGGCCCACTCTGTGCGGACGAGAGAGTAAACCAAACTGCGCGCATCTGTATGACTTTATCAAAATCTTACAGTTTCAACATTTCCTGCCTGAAAATCACAATTTCACATAAATGACCATCGAATGACTGTTTTGAAATGGATATAAATAATTTTTTTTAGCTTATTAAATTTATGCTGATTCACAGAGTCTCTAATCAGCAGCACACCATGTTGTTTTCATGTGGCTGCTGCTTTGTTGTCGTTAATGTTTACATTCATCATGTAAAGTTGTTTAGGCAGTCTTAGTGTGCCTTTTAAATTGCTGCACAACAATGTGTGGTTTAGTTCAGTGGTTGTTTTTTCCATTAGCGTCCTCCTTTGCTCATTTTCAATAAATGCGCCAGGAAGCTAATCATTTTTACTGCTGCCATTAGATGATGAAGGTGCACTGTAAGAGTTTCCACTAACTTTTTTGTCCTCTGTGCCCCCCCCACCCCCCTCCCTGTGTATCTAACTGAGCTCCATTAATCATCCCTGCTGTCCTAATAGGATCTGGACAGCCAAATATGTGAAAGTTCTGTTTTGCTTCTACTTTCACAGGAAAGCTGAGCATGTTCAGTGATGTGTACTGTATGAATGTGAGAGAAGGGGGGTCGGGGGGGGGGGGTCGGAGAGTTTTTCAGGACCACCCTCCTTATCCTGACGGGAAGTTGTTAGTTTAACCTGACAGGAAAGAATTCGTGAAACTTGGCAGCAAGCGACAAGGGAGAGAAAAGATTTTCTCTTAGCATTAACTGCTCATACTTTGACTATTACCATCCTTCATTTTTCTCCCAAAACACAATGTTCTGAGTTTTATAACTGCACTCCCCTCTATCATAGACACACTCCTCCTCGCTGCTGCGATATACATCCCCCCCCCACATCCTGCCTCTCGTTAGTTGCTCTTTGTCCCGGGTCATGAATGCAGTCTGTGTGTTTCACCCCCCTTCCCTTCCCCTCTGTCCCTCCTTCCTCCTCTTAGCAGCTCTACCTGTATCGGTTACACCTGAGCGGGAAGGCGGTGGGCTCGGGTTACGGCCCGCAGAATGAGGGCGCCTCTTTGATGAGTGCAGGCTGGAAGGGACGGGGGGTCAGCGTTGGGATGAGGGCCGAGAGAAAAGAGAGRATTTATTTGTGTCTGGAGTTTGGCAGCTGAGGGTGCTGCAGAGCGCTCTGCCTCACCTGGGTTGGGTTAATGGCTGTTTGTTTGTATGTTTACAAACTTGTTTTAAGCAGACAAGGATGCATATATTATATATAAATTTAAAATTATGTGGGTGCTCGGTGCTTGCTTCCCAGTTGGATTTGTGTGCTTTTTGTTTTCTTGCTTATGCTGTTTGTTTTCAGTGCACAGAACATRCAAATGACCCTCTAACTGTTACCTGTTGTGTTTTTCAGGGGGTAGTGTATGGAAAATGTCTGGAAAGCAAAACTGGACTCTGTGGAGAAAGAGAAGGGTTCCAGCGTTGTGTACTCTGGGTGCAGTACTTCTCTGCTGCCTGCAGAGCGGCGCTTCAGCCACCGGTGAGTGATGAGATAATAAAACTATAAATCTAGACATATTTGTTTTTTCACTAACAGTGTTCTTTTTTTTTTCCTCGTAATTATTTTTTTCATTTCTGAATACCTCTAAATATTGCGTGCTTTCTATCACGTCTGAAAAGTGCAGTCTGACCTCACTTTGCAAGCTTTCTTTACCTTCCTGAACACCTGGTACGCAATTACTCCTGCCAGGAAAAAAAAAAGTTTTCTGGCTCCGACAGAGGGAGTAAAGTGTTTTACGTGTCTGGCAGCAGCCACAGCAGTTTGTTTGAAATGCATATGAATAAGTGAGCAGTTTGGATGAGCTGTAGTAGCCACCATGGATGAACTTAAAAATGAAAAGAAGCGTTGTACGGTCAACTGAACTGATTTACTTATTAACCAGCTCAAGAAAGTTAGATATCCTGACTGAATACGGTTAAAACAGGCCTTTAAGTATGTTTTTAAGAAAGGAACTTTCAAATTTGCTGCTATTTCATTATTTAGTTTTTTTGCTTTCCCTTATCAGCAGCAATTGGCATGCACAATCAGCTCAAGTGAATTACTTTCAGCTATGCTAATCAAGTCCATGAGCTACTTTGAAGAAATGAACTGGGTGGATTAGTGTAATCTGGATTAGTTGATCCTGGATCAGCGAAATGATCTTAATTGTTTAAGTGAACCAAGGGGAATGAGCCTTTATTCGCAAAGTCAGAGTTACATGTTTGTTAGTTTTTTTGTACTGATTATTTGTTTTTAAGTTCAGGATTGTTGGTAAATTAAACACTTTTTAAACCAGTAACGAGGAGCTACAGTTTCTTGCCAAATTGTGCTTTTGAATTTATCTTTATTCCTCAGTTTTACTGTTTAAGTAAATCACTGCATTTGTAGGCATCTGGTGCAGTTTAAGGGTGTATTTATTAGGGATGCACAATATATTGGCATTCATATCGGTATCGGCCCGATAAAAACTGGGCCGATATTAACGTCCGATATTGATTTCCCACTTTTTATCTTGGTGTTTCTGTTTTGGGAGGGGAGATGGTTGGTTGAACAGCAYCTGTTTGATCATGATAGTGATATTGACACTGCACAGGAATAACTGAAGTTTGGAGCCATGTCAGAGGTCTGGTTGTTTATTTACAGTATTAAAAAAGACCCAAGTGTGTTTGTGAATATATGTATAATATAATTTGTGTGTTTGTGTAATATCGTTAATTATCGGTCATAATAGCAATAATTATATCGGATATCGATATCGACTGAAATGATCTATTTGGTGCATCCCTAGTCTTTATCATGAAATGTCCTCATAAGAAGCTCTGTTTGCATCTGAAAGCCTTGTTTGATCTCCTCCTCAGATGAGGTGCCGGTGTTCACAGAGGAGCCTGCGTCCGTGGTGCAGAAGTTTGGAGGCAGCGTCTCGTTGCGCTGCAGCGTCCAGCCCGCCTCGGCCCAAGTCAGCTGGCGCCTCAATGGCGAGCAGTTGACGGGCGGCGATCACGGCGTGGTAGTGGGTCCCGGCAGCCTGTTCATCCCTGCTCTGTCCAACCTGACTCTGGGCAGATACCAGTGTGTGGCCAGCACCGGCGCTGGAGCTCTGGCAAGCGTTCCTGCTAACGTCACCGCTGCCAGTGAGTAACCGCCCACCCCAAAGCCGGGCCAAACAAACACAAACACAAACACATGGGCCTCTTTCAGCCCCGCTCGACTTTGGTTTGTCGACGTATCCCAAGAACGCCTTTGACTTGATTTTCTTCAACTAGAACAAAAACAGTGAGGAGGTGGTATTTGTTTGACTCAAACCTTTACCAATGCAACATTGTAAACCCTGTACTTTTCCACTGGTTGTGGTTGGTCTGAAACTAATCCTCACAAAGTATACAAACCAGCTACAGTGAAAATCTGTTACACATCACTGGTAAGTGACACAGCTCATTCTGTGTAGACAAAACAGCTGCTTTTTTATGCTGACTTGCATTGATCTAATAGTAAAAACAAAATGACTGCTGATGCTAAAAGTTTTAGCACTCCGCTGGTACGAGTGGGTGGTGTTACATTTGATACGCATCATGGGACGGAGAGGGGGTCTGAAACCGTGTAACTTGAGCTTTAAGAATGGAGGGGACCCTGGGGCCGGGGGCCAGCTTGAGTAAGGATGGAGGGGACCGGTGCTCAGCGCAGGGGCCCCCTGCCTCCACAGGCTCCTTTGCTCCTCACAACACCACATTCCTCTCTGCAGGGCCTGACAGCAGGGCTCACCAGAAATTATGACCCCATTATTGGCTAAAGGGAGATAAGAGGTGTGTGTGTRTGTTTGGGAGGGGGTGGTGGACAGAGGATATAGGGGTAAGGCAAGGCTGCTGTTGAACGTATTGTTTTACATGTATTGAAGTGATTGATGTTCGCCCTGACTGGAGAAGCTGGAGGTGTTTTAGGCCAGTCGAAACAAGATCCTGACACGACGACGAGACACGATGTCACGTCCTTCCTCTCCATAAACTCTCTCTCTCACACACACCTCTTTCTGCGTGTATTTTTCACACTCACTGTCACTTTCTCTCCACTCCATCCTGCTTTTATTGGCTCACCTTTTCTGTCCTCCCTCACCTCTCGTGTCTTTCTGTTTCCGAGGTGTTAGAAGTTACTGATAGCTCCAGAAGCGGATGAATCTTGCTCAGATCTCTTAAGTGAGGTTTCGTGGAAACTTTATGTACAATTATTATCTAACTTGTTACAGATAAATCTTGGAAAGATCTCAAAAAACATTCCTTGATTTAATAATGACTTCTCGGCCACCCTCAAACCACCTAAGGTGTACATGCTTGTCTGTCTCTTAGCTGTACGCACACGTTTATTGGGATCAGTGTAGGTTGATTCCAGACCCTCCACAATTTTTTGACTTTGAAGAATCTGCCTTTTTTTTTTGGCACGAGTTAAAACTTCTCCTCGCTTGAATTCGTGCTCTGACAATCACCCCGCCATATATCTATGAAACGAGAATGCACAACACGTTGCACAAACATGTTATAATTCAGAGACGCGCACACACAAGCGGGACCCTCCTGCTGTGGCGCATAAAGATGATGAATACACTGTCTCTCTTGAAATATTTTCCTGGGCCCTGCCAAGGAGCCCTGGTGTGGGAGGTCTGCTTCACTTTATGCATACAATCAATCCTCTGTACATGCAGGACGCTCACACACACACACACACACCTGAGAGGCACCCATGAGGGTTTGTTCCTCCAAAGAATGTGGGTATGTAGTTTAAAATGGGTAGATGTAGAAAGAAACAGGCAGGAAGATGGTAGGATGGGTAGGTATCAGGAGGGAGATGGTTGTCTGTAAAAACAGCACCTGATTGATTTAGCAAATGGAGCGCCACACACACTTGAGCACATTTACACACACACCACTAAAACCTAACATGCCCCGGCTTGGATTCTCATCTTTCAGAGTCAAAGCTGACAGTCCGAGATGGAGTCCTGTTGTGTTTCTGTGTGTGTGTGTGTGTAGACCCTGATCTCCCCCATTTCTCCCATTAAAGCTCCTCCAGATGCCGCAGATCCAGCAGCCATGGTGAATTAATCATTGGTGTGTGTTTGTGCAGACGTAAATCACTCTGTTTTTATCAGTTCATCCCGTGGCCTTGATTGAACTTTGCATATAAAATTAGAGCTGTACACAAAGTCTGATCAGTCGACACTGAGCAGCAGCAGATTCCTTTTTTTTTACTTTTAGATGAAGAGTGTGGCTGATCCAAGAAAAACACACCAGTTGTAGCACCTCTGGAAAAAAAAAACTGCAGGGCCCGTGTTTGTTAAGAATAAATCAACAAAGTCTGGTAGACATTTAATTACGTTCCCGGAGTAGTTTTATTTATCTTTCATTTTACTGTCGAACTCCATCATGACAAGTTTCTCCTGTTTTCTCTCCCCTCCCTCTCGCGCTTGTCCCTGCCTCCTTTTTCTTCCCTTGCTCTCATTTTACTTTTTCTTCTGCCTTTTAACTTTTATAAAATGGCATCGCTCCTCCTGCTGAGACGGTTATGGGTTCGGTTCTGTTCCGGCCTCTCAGGAGCCCGGTTTTAGCCGCTTCCTCTCAAAACGCCCCAAAACTGGATGTCTTTCTCTGTAACCCTATCGGGTGGACAGCTCTCCCCTTTGACCCCATGGCCAGGCCTCTGGGCCTCTCAGGCAGGGGTTTAAGGAGGTCAGGGGTCAGATGAGCATCTATTCCGTGCAGACTTTGTGTCTGCAGATTGCAGTTTGCAGCACATGGCCTCTGTAATCCCACTCCATCRTTTCCCACAGGCTCCAAACCAGCTCTAGTTATGTTGTAAGGTCTGTGGAGATTATTGACACCTCCTCAAGTGTTAAAATCTACCATATTGAAATGTTTACCATGAAATGACTCTAGTAGAAAAATGCTTGTGTAAAATTCCCGTGACTCTAACCGGATTGTGTTAACACAAGCAGTGGGAAAGAAACGAGTAGAGAGAGAACATTAAAGAAACAATGTGGTTGCAACACAGCATAGAGAAGCTGGCATTGCATGGAAACAGTAAAGTTATTATTGTTCAAAATATTGTGGTTTTCTTCCTCTGACACTGAGGACTGACTGTGTACATGTGCCGTTAGAAGTGATTTACACAGTGTGTTACGCTGCTGAAAGAATGCCGAGTTGTTTTGCAGTCGTGTGACAGAGCTGACTGGTGTGTTTTGTTACTTTTCTCCCAGAGCTTCGGGACTTCGAGCCCGACGTTCAGCAGGAAATTGAAGTGGACGAAGGCAACACGGCTGTGATTGAATGTCACCTCCCTGAGAGTCAGCCCAAAGCTCAGGTTCGCTACAGCGTCAAACAGGAATGGCTGGAAACTTCCAAAGGTACTGCTGCAGCGTAAATCTTCCCTCTTGATACTGTCGTCTTAATTTACTGGAATGCTATAATCTGACCCCTCATAAAACTGGTGATAAGGTTGTTATCTGGAGAATGTTGAAGCATGGGAATGCTGTTGTTTATTCAAACTATTTACCTCTAAGTTGTCTGGAGGAGAAGAAAAGCTCCAGTGGTTTGTTGCTGGTCTGCTGATGATGCCTGGGAGGTGTAGGTACTGTTATCTGCTGCTTATCAGCGAGGAAATGAATACCACATTGTTAAACTCTGACTGGATGCTCTGAGTCAGACTCGAGGGCGCCACTTAGTGGCCTTTTCCGACAGTACCGAGTGGTGGAATGGTCTTCAGGGCTCGTATTCCATATTGTTTTAGATTCACCGTCCTGTTAGGCTCCTCTCACTCCAATTGTGCTCTCTCCTGCAGGAAACTACCTCATCATGCCGTCGGGGAACCTGCAGATAGCCAACGCCACACGTGAAGACGAGGGGCCGTACAAGTGCGCGGCGTACAACCCTGTCACTCAGGAGGTCAAAACATCCACGTCCACTGACCGTCTGCGCATTCGCCGTGAGTCGTCACCTCCAACACTAACACTAAGGCAGAACAAAAAGATTTATTTATTTTTTGAAGTGGAGTTCTGTAATATTTTACATATTCTAGGTACCAGCTTGAATAACTGCAGTTTTAGGTTATTCTGTCAGAAAAATTAGTTTAATAATAAAAAGTTATTCAAAGAACTATCTAAATATGGATGTTTTAATTGTTCAGACTTTAGGCCAGGGCTATTCAACTGGCGGCCCGCGGGCCACATCCGGCCCATGAGTGACCAAAGTTCGGCCCGTCAATAGATTCATTCATCTCTTAAACTCAAACCCCTGGTTTTCTACTTTAATTACTCCGAGTTATTTTAGATAAACATAAGCATGTTTGGTGTTTACAGAAACATCAGAACCTTGGCTAAAGGCTGGTAAATAACATTTCTATGAACACTCAAGACAGTTAAAACTACAAGCAGTTGAAGATAAAACTATGAAAGTGAAAATAAAATTGGTTTAAAAATTTGTCAAGTCAGCTGTCAAAATATTATTTGTGGTAAATAAGATGTTGTTTTTGTTTTTGTTTTATTATCACTACTTTTATTACACAGGGTTCTGCATGTTGTATTCATGATTAAATACAGTAAAATAAATTATTTCATAGGTAACAGATCTTTGTAATACTTGGTTTATTTACATAATGACTGACAGCTGGATGTTCRGCCCCTAAGCTGTTGACCTGCAGTAACTGTGGCCCTCGGAGTGATTTAGTTGAGTAACCCTGCCTTACATTGCAGCCTGCTCTGTACACGTGTTGCCCACGTGTCTTTCATAAATCCATCAGATTTGACCTTTTATCATTGATCTCAGCAGCACATCTTTAGTCACACATGCTGACATGCACACTTGAATCTTCAAAGTCGCTGATAAAAGTGGAAAGCCGTTTTGATTTAGCGTCTCCGTCATCTGTTTTAAATTTTTTTTTACAAAGMACAGAAGCCTCGCCAACACTCACAYCCCGACCGTCCTCGTCTCTTTCAGGCTCCACCTCCGAAGCGGCCCGCATCACCTACCCTCCGGCGCCCCGCTCCATCATGGTGACCAAAGGCCAGCGGCTGGTGCTGGAGTGCGTGGCCAGCGGCATCCCCACGCCGCTGGTCACGTGGGCCAAAGATGGCCAGGACCTGCGTTTCCACAACAACACGCACTTTTTGCTCAGCAACCTGCTGATCGACGCGGTGAGCGAGGACGACTCCGGCACGTACATCTGCAGAGCGGACAACGGCATCGGCTCGGCCGGCTCTACCACCGTGCTGTACGACGTGCAAGTGTTTGGTGAGAAAAMCAAACTGTTTATCAAACATTTCAACAAAGTGATTGAATTTAAATTCCAGTAAAGTCTRTTCATATCGAAGAGTTTGCTTATTTTATCCTATTTTGCCTGCATCATGGATTTGAGAAATACTTTGTCTCCTGTTTGGCTAAGTTGAAACAGTGGTCTGTGTGTGTGTTTGTGTGTGTGTGTGTGTAGAAGCAGAGACGACACAGTGGAGACAGGGCTCCATTCTGTAGAAGGACTTGATTGAATGTGTCTAGGTTATGGATGACTGTTTTTACAGTGATTTTGTGTGTGTATGTGTGCTTGTGTTTGTGTAAATGTGTTTTGGGCTCGTCTCTCAGCAGCTGGCTCTAATTAAAGTTGGAGTGCTGCTGTAGCTGTAATGAGTTCTGTCTTCCCCCCATTCACAAGCAGCCAACCATCAACTGTCTGGCCTGCCTGGCTCTACACACCCCTCATGTTGTATAGTTGTAGCACACACACATGCGTGAGTTTGTGTTTTTATTAAAACTAAAAGGACTTTTTGTCCAAATTTTTTAATTTATTTTATGCAGCACAAAGTGACAATGAAGCATTTCAGCTGTGCAAGCATTAACCAGGGTTCCTGCAGATCCTTAAAAAGCCTTAAAAGTCATTGAATTCATCAATCCAAAAATAAGGCCTTAATTAGCCTTAAAAGGTCTTAAATCAGTCTTTCAGAAGTCTTAAAAATGTGAACACATTGTAAATAGGATGATTGTAATTCATCTCAAATATTAAAGTAATTGGTAGCATTTATTTTTTTTAAATATTCACATGCAGACACTCCCCTTTGACATCACTTCCTGTTATTTCACATGTAAATACTGTATCTCAACAACTGTCAATCTGAGCAATGTGAAATTTGTTTTGTAATATGTTAATAATGTTGTCTTTCTAAAAAATGCATTAACCTTTCTTACAAATTTTGWTGTCACAGACACTTCAAGGTTTCATCTACAGCAAATTGGGGTTAAGACCCCACTGTGGGTCCTAAAACTCCAAATTTTGGGTCGTTAAACTGACTGCTAAGAATGTTTTTGCTATATTTGACGAGAAAGCAGTTAGATATGGATAAAAAAAATTGTCTTAGCAAAATATTTGAATACTTCAACTGAAAATACTATGATTCATGAGTTGCTGCTAGTTTTTTTGTCATTTGTGTTTATAGTGAAATTGGTCTTAAATTTAATTTCACTTGGCATTAAAAAGTTTTAAAAGTCTTAAACATAACTTGCTTTAAACTGTAGGAACCCTGTTAATGCGTTCCCATCTGTTGGTTTCCTCCTGCAGAGCCTCCTCAGGTGATCGTGGAGCTGCAGCAGCAGGAGGCCGTGTACGGAGAAACCGTACGCTTCACCTGTCAGGTCCGGGGGAAGCCCGCTCCCTCTGTGACGTGGCTCCACAATGCTCAGCCCCTCGCACCGTCCGCACGCCACCGCCTCACCTCGCGGGGGCTGCGCGTCCTAAACGTGGGCCCGCAGGACGACGGCCTGTACCAGTGCATGGCGGAGAACGGAGTGGGCAGCTCACAGGCCTCCGTTCGCCTCGTAACCGTATCGACGGGTCAGTAGGAGGAGTAACCTGTTATAAGTTTCTTTCTTCTGTTTGGTAACTTTTCGATGTGATTGTGTGGTTTCTGTAGGGATTTCACCTGGGAAGAGGCTGCCCTCCATGTTTCGCCCCCTCAGCCCAGACCAGGTGCTGAAGGAGCAGCCTCCTGTAAGGCCCGGGGCTCCCAACGTCAAGCTGCCCTTCGACTGCTCTGACATGCTGGGGCTGATTCTGCCTGCAGATGCCCCCATTATTCTGAGTCAGCCACGCACGGGCAAGGCTGACTCTTATGAACTCACCTGGAGGCCTCGGCATGAGCGAGGGTCCCCTGTGCTGGAATATACCATCAAATACAGAAAAGTAAAGCCACCCCGGGTCTTATTGTGGAAAAAAACTCGCGTCTTCTTTGTTTCTTTATTGTAATCGAGTCCTTTTTGGCCTTTTCAGGAAGGAGACCTTCTTGCAGACTGGACCATCCGCACTATCTCAGGCTCTCTGCACAAGCTGACTCTGACCAAACTGCAGCCAGACAGCCTGTACGAAGTGGAGATGGCTGCCAAGAACTGTGCGGGTTTGGGACAGCCGGCCATGATGACCTTCAGAACTGGCAAAAGTACGACACAGACGGAAAGCATTCAGTCCTATGAGTACTCAACAAATCCCATTAATGCATGAGAAAACAGCAAAACAACTCTTTTTCTGTGGAACCTCAGAGATTTTATTTTTCAGTTTTTGAATCTTGACCGTTTGTTTTTCTGTTTATAGGTCGCAAAGGACCCCAACACCCACAAAAACCTCCTGCTGTCCCTCCGTCGACACTGTCTCGTAAGCACTCACCAGGATGTCTTATGTCCTTAAAGGGAACTCAGACTAGATGTAACAGACATGATTATATAAATATTTACTTCAACTGTAAAAAAATATATACTGTAGGCTGTTTAATTTTGATAACTTCTAAAAATATAACCACACAGACAGCGTCATATTATTAAAGAAAACTGGGTAAATGACGACAGTGTCAGGCTGCGAGCTCTATCCACCCTGAAGGTTCATCTTGGACAATATCTGACGATCAGCGTTTTAAATTAAACCAGAGAGCATTGACAGAAAGAGGAATAGCTTAGCCTGTTAGCCTTCATGTTAGTGCCTAAGCTAATACATTATTTTATATGTATATGGTGATATAGCATTAGCTCCCAAGCCAGTAGTGTTAGCTCAAGAACTGCCATATACTGTATTCATGTTACTAATTAATACGTGACGTTAGTTCATATATAGCTAATGCTGTATC